GCGCGGTTCGCCGTGGGGGTGCGGTGAGGTGCAAGCGAGATCGTCACTGGGAGCCGAGGTTTTGTAACCGCTGGGCGGTGAATCGGTGCTGGCGTTAGATCGGTGTACTGGTAAAACGTTGCGTAGGGACAAAAATCGGGCAAAAGTAAAATTTATGAAAAAAATTCCCATTTTTCTCCTTCTTGGTACTCGGAGGAAACAAGGACGAGTCTGTGCTGAGCAGGGTTCAGCTTGACTGCGGGCTGCAGCCTTTCTGTGGCTTTCCTTTCTGTGGGGATGTGCTGGTTTGGGGCGGGTTTGCAGGCCCGGGTCACCGTGCAGGCTCTGCTTGCCTTCGTGGTGTGTGCGCTCCACCTTGGTCCCACGGGACGTGGAAGCCCCGCGCGTGGTTTTTCGTTTTTTTAGGAACTTGCCTCCTATTTTGCTGAGTGTGCGATAGAGAAAATGTGAATTCCTTCAATGCGGTTTTAGTCCATGGTGCATAGCTTAATCGGAGTATAAGAATAATAGTAGTGAATTTTACTGTGAGTAAAGGAAGGCATGTGGCATATAGAGAACATATGTGGGGTGACTGGCTCCGTTCTTAAAAGTTCAGAGAAGATGTGACTGATTTGACATCAGTTTAGGATTTACCCTGTGCAGGGGAAGGGGGAGGAAAGCAAGCAAAAAAACAAAACCAGGCAACTAGTCTGTCTAATTTTATGAGTCGGAGATCATAGCCTCTGTACAGACCATTGAACGTTCAGGCTCTCCCTTATGAATTAGAATAGCAATGTGGCATGGCTCTTCCTACCGGCAGTGATGCAGAGAGAAGCAAAGAGAAGATTTTCAGATTTTTTCCAAAACCTTATAAAAAAACCTATTGAATTGCAGTCTTTAGTGTTAAGTGCTTTGGTCTTCACAAACCTCTCTGTAATCCTAAACCAGGTACGTTGAGGGAGCAAGGGGCTGGATGACTTATGAAAGAAGCATGTAGTATGGCTGCTGTAGGACTTCATATCTGGAAAGTGCTGTCATCTGTGACTGTCAGCTGAGGAAGTGTGATACTTGATGTTATTTTTTATTCATTTTTCCAATGGCTTAGGTGTCTAGTTAATATCTGGTTTAAAAATTAAACAGTTTTACAAGCATCCTGTATGTAATTTTTCTAATATTTTCTCTTTTTCATTAAAGGTGGAGATAAACTACGGTAACTAAAATAAGACAGCTCTGGATACTAATTTTGTTGTTAAATTAATTTCAAACCCGTTAACTGCCTTACTGGAAGTGAATTCTTCGAGTTTACCAGTATGGCTCTGACTATTACGTTGCTGAACAGTGCTTACTTACGTGGTAGATGCTGCAGGCACAAAGTTTTGCATCCCTTACTTGGACCTTTCCTCAGCGATTCCATGTCAAAATTGTATAGCAGCTACAGGAGGCCAGGGTCACAGCCTGAGAAAAAACCGTCTTGGCAAACTACCGATTTCAGTTTTAAGAAGGGCATCGATGTCTTAAAGACTCAGCTAGGCATGCTGAAGAAGGAGACCAAAGATTACTTAATAGGACCTGGAGGCCATCCATTTGATCAGTACCTGTTGGAACAGACAAGGGTGTTGTGGGAGTTTCGGAGCCAAGAAGATTTAAATAAATGGGTTATTTCCTCTGATGTAGAGATTGGAGGGAAAAGTGAAGTTTACCTCAAATTGGGTAGGAATAACCAGGCTGCTCTGCTGTATGGAACCCTCAATACGGAAGTACCTCGTGATGGGGAGACCAAATACAGCGGATATTGTAGCATGAGAGCTAAACCGCCAGTGGTAAGTACAGCTTCATGTTTGCATAGCTTCTCTAATTTAATCGGAGTATTTAATACTCACTTCCAGGAGTATTAGATATTCCTTCAGGGATGTAATTGCTTCTGTATCCTTTGACCTGGAAGGAACTTAAACTTTTTCTTGGATTTTGTTTTCCTTTCTTAGAAAAGGAATAATATACATTTGATCATTTAGTTATGTACAATAGGGCATCCAGTCATTAAGACAGCCCTGTTTGCAGCCTCCTTGCAAATGAAGGATCTGTAATGAACCTTTTTATCCAAAATTGGTATGATTAAAATTGATGTCTCTCTAAATTTGAAGTTAATTGAATGTGTCATAAGGACAAATTTTCTGGGCTTTAACTTGGCCTATTCGTCAAACTTGGTTTAGGTGCATGAGCTCACCTTTTTTTCTCACAGGAACAGAAAATAATGCTTTGAAATGTACTTTTTAAAGGTCTGACTCCTACTGTACGTCGGAAAAAGCAAGCACAAATCTTTGATAGCTCAGAATTGAGCAAAACAGAACTGGAAATGAATGTGCTTTTTATTGATACTGCTTGTTTCATTCCTTATTTTTAAGCACCTTTAAAAGCAAAGGAACATTTTGACTCAGTGTATAAAATGCTTAACTTTTTAGTCCATTCTGTCGTTTGTGACTTGGCACAAGTACACAGGTAAAATCTTTTCTGGGCCAGAAACTTGGAGAGCAGAAAATTTAAGCGAGCAAAATCAATGGGCAAATGAGAGGCAGATGAACACTGATTAAAATGGTGACACTGGGTCAGGGAAGTGGAACAGCAAGTTGAATCTCACCTGAGTTAAATTCCCAGGACTGCTACTGGCTTGTGCAAATGTGACTCAGCCTTTCAGCTCCTAATTCTGAAGTAGTGGAGTGTATCAGTCCATCTTTATAATGCAGTTTGAAATCAGAGGGTGACAACATAAATACAAAGGCTCTTCTTTATTTAAGTAAAAAGGCTCAAAACTGGCAAAACCATAAAATCAAGTAGCCACAGCCCTTGTATTCATATATTCATGATCTATTCATCCTATTACCTGTAAGATGATCTTTGGAAAAAAATGCAGTTGAGAATTAGACATGCTTGCAATCCGTGTCATTATGCACAGGTAATGACAAAAAGTGTTGGAAAACATTAAATGCTTCCAGTGCTTCAGTCTTCAATAAGGGCAGTTGTCACAGGGGATAAATTATCCCACTTCTTCAATTTCTTGTAATCACCTCTGAATACTCTAGTACTGACCACAGAATATTAAACTTAATGAACTGCATAACTACTGATCTATTGCTATAGCATTTGTGCACTTGCCTGGTAGGGCAATCAGAGGTCTGATTTCTGACAGTTACAAGATTGTGGTTTATAATTAAAGCATGAGTCCTCAGAGTGGTGATACTGTAATTTGTGGGCTCTAATACAGTGCTGAAGGAAATTCAGTGAGATCAGCAGCTGGTATGATGAAAAAGTAACCCAGTTTTCACTGTATCGCAGTAGATACTATTTGACATAATAATGAGGGCAGTGATCAAAGCAATAGTGCTGTGTTCTTCATAATGGAAGTTTCCTTTTATTAAGGAAGAATAATTCTATTTATTAATAATTTGTAGGGATCCTTTGCTAGGAAGAAGTATTATGACTGGTCAAACTTCAACAGTCTGTATTTACGTGTCCGTGGCGACGGCAGACCTTGGATGGTAAACATTTATACAGACCCTTACTTCTCTCATCAAAAGGACGATCTCTACAACTACTTCATGTTCACCCGAGGAGGCCCATACTGGGAGGAAATAAAGGTGAACTGATGCGTCTTTCAAACTAACGGGACTGTCTTGGGGTCCTGGCCGTAGCTCTGTGGAAGGGGAAAGCTTTCCACACTCACAGTTTGTTGCTGTTGCTGTCCATTCAACAACGTTTCTGTTACGTGTCCTAATACAACAGACACGTGCGTTTGGCTTGGGAGTTCCCAAAATTGTAAATCACTGGATTGTGGGAGGGCACACTGTGTCAGTTGTATTAAAGATTTCATCTACAATATGTTCACCTAAACGTCTGCTGTTAGCTATTCCTGGAGTAAGGGAATAGATGCAGCGATTGAAGCTTGTCGGATGTTGCCAGGAATATTCTCTGTGACAACCATTTTATCTGTAATACAAGTGGACGAAGGTTGGTGTAGGACTTGTACCCTGTAACAGGATTTGCTTAACCCACTGACTCGCTGGACTCGGTCAGAGACTCAAAGATGTGGTTTGTCATTTATGGCCTTTGAATCTGTGACACAAACTAATATTTGTAAGAAGTGGGAGTTTCGGCTCTTTTCTGATGAAACTCAGGGAACTTTTGTAATTTGCTGATGACAACATTAAGGAGGTTTGGGCATCGTTACGAATTGGCGTTCAGTGCCTCATAATATCATTGTCCAATCTTATGAGAACAGCCCACCGTTTCACAGATGAGGAGTCAGGAGGATGAAAATCAGTGTGTCGTTGCTGGCTTCCTTGTTTTCCTCTCTCCCACACCAGCCAACCCTCCTGTTTCCCATCTCTTCCTTGCTCCCACTGCATTCAAAGTCATTTTTACATTATTCTGAACTGCTTTGCTAGAGTACTGATGTCTCGGTATGAAGTTTGCGCTATGAAGTACACAGCTTGGGTACAGACGAGCTGTTGATACACATGCGTGCTAGACTTCTCATTAATTTCTATTTGGTGCTGACATGTTATGGAAGGAGATATTCTAGATGTAAACAGCCACCTTCTGTGCCGCAGCCTCTCGTTGTGTCCTGACAGGGTAACAGTTCTGCACAACGGCTGCAGCAGCCACCGCAGAGCAGCGTGGGGCTGGAGCTGGCTGCGAGTGGTTAGTGAAAGGGTTAATGGGGCCCATTTCTCTGTGCCAGTTCTGTGTACTCAACTAGTGCTGGCACCAGACATAGCAGAGTATTATTTCATGTGCTAAGGCAGGCTTTTTATTTCTTAAGTGTTTATTCTATGTGCTGGTGACACTGAAGTCTGGTTTGGTTTGGTTTTGTTTCTGTCAGATTCCATTCTCCAAATTCTTTCTCTCCAGTCGGGGAAGAGTCCAGGATGAACAGCATCCTATCTGGTTAGACAAGGCAAGTTTTCTACAGGCTTTATCTGTCTGAAATATATTGTCATGGTATAGATAATTTACAAATCCTTTAATGTTTGTGAATTTCAAATTGAAGGGCCTCTTCTTGTTATAAGGTACTTATTCTTGCGTGCTTGCCTTTGCATTTAAATTATCCTACTTTGTGATAGCAGTGTCAGTTTGCTTCAAAGGAGCTCCAAAAATATTTTTAAGAGATCTAGATAACCAAGAAACAACTCACAGCTTACTTGGCTTTTCAAAAAAAAAAAAAAATTTTTTTTTGAGGAATGATCAAAGTGACTAAAATCTAAAGTGCCAGTTGGCACAGTACTGCCAAAAATAATAAAAGTAAGTATCATAAACTTCCTTCCTGACAGAAGACTGTAAAGGATATCATATTGTGAAATTTTATTTCAGGATATACTGTATCGGTGACCTTGATAGTGAGCATCAGGTGAGCACTGATGTATTTATAGATCTTTTTTTGGTTTTTTCAGGCTTTCTAGTCTAAGTATTAAGTAAATATGTTGAGTATTTTTTATTTTGTTTCTTCAAATAGGTAGACTAATCCACTGATTCATGGGAGGAGACATGTTGGAAAAAATTGTTTCTGTATCTTTCTTTTTAAATTTTAGTGACCCTCCTGTATGTAATTGAGGGCAGCTTAATACCCAGTGACTACCAAAGGGAAAGAAACAATGTTAGAAATATATATGGGGAGAAAATAAAAGGCCCATTACTTGAATCAGTATTAGTCACCTGGAATGTTGCATTCACTTCCTAATTGCCTTAATGAAAAAAAAATTAGGAAAAATTTAAGGGCAATTCAGTGATTGGCAGCATGAAAACAATCTGTTTTAAAACAGAAGTAGTTGAGGCTGTAGAAAGCAAGTATGAATGATATGAGGGTGGATCAACTACAAGTAAAAATATGCTTCATGGAAGAAAGTTATAAAAGGCCCGTGTTTAAATACAGACACTGAAGAATTTCTCAGGATTTGGAATATATAGTCATTCAAAACGGTAAGTGAAAACATAAAGTTGTATATGGGGTGTTTAAAAATATTTACCAGGAGTTAAAGGGCCAAAATGAAACTTGATCTAAGCATCCTCTACTTAACTTTCATTCCTTGCTACCTTATGCTTAGTACTTCACAGTAAAAATGAGGCACTTGCGTATAATATGAAGTGTAATTTTACAAATGTATTTTAAAGAAACCTAAAACTAGGGGAAGCGGTGTGAAGGCAATTAAAGAAATCTTGAGAAAACGTCTTGGTCCCCCGTGGTACCGCTGTATGTTTTCCCAGGAACCAGGAGAGGCATTGTTAAACAGGAATAAAAAGGCAGGAAATAGCCAATGTATCTAGGGCTTGCCAAGGAATAAATTCTGCAGAGCGGAGAGTTTAGGTGACTCCCGTAGTCATCTATAACAATACGAAGCAGAAAGGTGCAGCTTTAAAAACTCTCCAGGCTCCGCAAGCCAAGGGGCTGATTGTAGAGCTTGCTCCTGGGGAAGAGACAGCATTTAAAGCGTTAGAACGATCTGAGAGGAATGCCAGTGCACTTCATTTCTTTAGCTTTGTTCTATTATTTATTTAGCATACGCTTGCGATATATACTTAGCCTCAGCCTATAACTATTCGACTTTATCATCTGACACATCCTGGGCGTTATTTTCCTGCATGTACAGCAGTCCTTAAAATCGTGGGTACAGCTCAGAGCTGTGCTTGTAGCAGGGCTTAGGGGCAGCTGGAGCTTACAGGTGGCCTGCCACTGGTGACCCGACCTGTCTGAGAGCTGCTGGCGCGGGAGTCCCTGAAAGGTGACCGGTGGCATGTAGGAGCTGAGAGAGCTTTCAGGCAAGCCACAGGCTAATAGGAAACATGCCTGAGCCACATGGATTTTTATGAGATTTATTAGAATAAAAATTATTGTTTTGAAAAAGGGAATAGTGGAGAACATTAGGGGAAAGGAATGAGGAATGTTCTTATACTTAAGAGCGTTATTCTAATTGGGAAACAGTGGCTAAGAACCTTGCCTTCATATAAAACCTGGTGACAGTTTCATGCATTTTTAAAAATGTCTGTTTTGGTGCACTTTCACACTATACCAGGTGCATGATTTGATCTGGAATGAAAGTTCCCTTCCATCCTTAATTACATTCGGCTTCTGTTTCCTGCTCACATAAGAATTGTAACAGACTTTATGAAAATCGTGATGAAACCGGCCATACTCAAACCTTGAAGGGTAAAAATTGCAGTGTTGCTTTAGGCTCAGGCCATTTCTAACAAAGGGTTCGACACAGCGGTAGAAAGGCAAACGTGAAGCAGTTTCCCCACAGGCCTCTGTGTTGAAAATGTGGTGGTGAAGTGTTCAAGCCTTAAGAAACAGTGCTGCGCTGTGAACAAATACCACGGCTTACAGCTGGTGGCCGTGAATTGTTTGTAAAATATGGAAGTGGTAGATACAATTGTGTTTGATTGTAACATTATAAATACTGTTCTAATGTATGTATCTTTTAATTAGATTAGTACCCTTGGATTCACGATTGGAGATAAAGTAGATGGTCCGTTCCAGCTGGAGATAGATTTTATTGGCCTGCTAAACGATAGAGCTCACACAGAAGAATTTGCGTATGAAACATATGAGAAGAATCCTCGAGCCTAAGTTGGGCTGGTGGCCTTTGGGACATACTTCTGATATAAAACACTTATTACTGTGTGGCTTATAACAACTGGAAGATTCTACGTAAACATTAGAGAGAGAAGTGCATGAAGTGTTGACCATAGTAATCTGACTAGAGTGACACCGTTGGCATCTCTGAGCTGCCAGATACAGAATCCTGGAGAGACTGTACATACACGGACTGGAACACAGCCCGAGGAGAGGTGTGATGCATTCCTACAAAGGAGTACCTGTTGACTGGGAAAGTTTTGGCTTCTGTCCTGACCTTTACAGAAATAAAGGTATTTCAGGAGCTTGTTGTAGTTCTTTTTTGTACAACAAATTCATTTTCTATGTTACATGGTTTGTAGGTAGTTTTAAACTGGAAAAAGTATGATGAGAATTAATACCCTGAGGAATGGTGCTCAAGTGTGACTCAGCCACGGAAATTTACAAAGAGCAGCACCAGAAGTGGAAGAGGCAGAAGTATTTCAATCTTTAGCTTTGGCTCCTCTGAATAACTAAAAAATGAAAAAGCTGCCACTGCCAAGATTGAAACAGTAGCTACACAGTGGGCTGGGCTTTTCTTTCAGAGCTGCCGATGACAGTCCTACAGCTTTATAGAGCTAAGGCTGTTCAACGAAGCAATGCTCCAAGGTGGGGCTGGGGGAACCCCCATCCCTGTCTGTTCCCTGGGGAGGCACAGCTCAGCTCGATGAGCACCATTACAGGGCAGATCAGATCACACTTTTCTGATGTGTGCAATTCGCTTAACTCGGCTCTGTTGTAAGAAGTCACAGCCTCAGCTGGTGGCACAGAAGCTCAATACCTCCCTTTTTCTGAGAAGTCTGGTTTTCGGTAATTTGAGAAACGCTTTAAAGAACAAGTGCTGAATGGTTTCATTTCAGCTGTCACAAACTTAGTCTAATCAAAGCACTGACCTCCTCTGCCATGACCTTGTTTAAGTGTACTTTACAAATATTAAATGTACCTATATTTTATGGAAGAGGCCACAATAAAGCAAGCTGAAGCAGTGTCTTGTACTATTATTTTCCTCTTGCACGGAATTAAATAGCGTAAGAGCAAAAGAGGAGTGATGGTTATTGTTTCTAAAGATACTGGAACAAACGTGCTTTTATAAAGTGGTAGGCAGGCTAATCAGTAAGGAAAACTAGTCACAAAAAAAGACGCTGAGTAGTAAATACAAGTATACAGAAAACTAGTGCTACACTAAGTGTACTAGACAATATAACCAGTGATAAACAGGATATATACAAAATATTTATTTCACCCCCAGTAAGTTTACTTAAAAAACAACCCTCTTGTTCTTGACATTTCAGCATATATTTTATAGGACACTAAATTAACTGAAACAGTTACTTGCTCAAAATTCTAGCTGAGATTACAACTGCTAAATTACCTTTCTAGTTCCATCCATAATAAATCCAGACAGCTTTTCTATGTATTTTTTAAAAGAAACAATAACAACAGCTTTTAAATCTAAGGTATTGAATGTGCTTCAACACTACTGTAACCTCTTAAGCATCAGAGAGATGAAAAGCAGAAGAATTTTGTTAACATCTGCTATTTACCACAGAAAGGAACAAAACAACCTTAACTGTTCAAAGCATCCAGTTGGTAATTTGTAAAGCCACTTTTCAGTTGTGACTTTTAAAAAATATGGTATTTTACAATTATGTTAAGCTGTAAGCTTTTAGTTTTCCAGAGAGCTTGCTTTTTTTTTTTCCTTCTCTTGGAAAATTCCCTACTACTTCATAGGCATGCAATTAGAAATGCTGAATAATTGCTGTAACAGTGGTTACAGAATTTAAGGATTGATTCAGAGAACAGGGCAAGCAGACATCTCCAACTCCTGTGATTGACCAGTGGAACACTTTGAAGCTTGCTTGCCAAAGCGTGCGTTCTGGTGGGTAACGAATGCATTCTGGTGGAGAAGTCTGTCCGAAGTTGCAAGGAGGCTTCTTGAGCACCTTTTTTCCACTTACATTTTCTCCTTTAACATCTTTCTCTAAATAAGTTAAATGAAAATGTTATTGAGCAACTAGAGATTGTTCAAAGCTCCTAAAAGTTTCGAACTCTCATCTCGTTGGAGAAGTTGATCTCTAAGACATTACACTCAGATGCATTTTAAGGTCTCGTTCAATGCTCTCTGGATTCCACTACTAATAGCAACCTGAACCATACACAGACAGCACAAATATTTACACGACAGGAACAGTATTTACAGTGATTTCTTGGATATTTCTTTTTCTTCCTAATCCACAGATAGTCCTCTACGGTTTCCGACAGCCTGAGCCTTTTTCTTTTTTCTCTCTTGCTCATGTTTCTCACGCCTTTCTTCCCTGAAGGGGAAAAAGAAGAGAGACAGACCATATCAAGTTATAATAAAGGCAGAGACACAAGCAACGAAAGGAATGTGAAGCTGACCAAGGCTTAACATCTCTTTAACCAGTGTGCTCCATTTGCCATGGGCAGAGGGAACAGTGCCATTCTGGACTGAATCCAAACATTCAGGCAAATACTTCTGCTTAGACATACAGGTCTAACATTCAAGGTAACAACATGTCAATATTCACAGCTTCGTCCAAGGTGAAGGTAAATCTCCAAATGCTACAACTGATAGCTTTCATCGAATAAAAGTCTATCAGGTTCAGAGCTGCCCTCTTTGTTGGCCTTCCTGGTACTAGACACACTATTGGAGGCAAAAATCGCTTTCATATAAAAGTATTCTTTCCTGAAATGCACATTTAAATCCTAAAAACACAAATGAGTCGTCATATTATTTTAAATAACACTATTCATAAAAAGTTAATGGTGTACTAACCTTGTCTGGAGATGCGGCTGTTTGTAATCTTTCTTACGTGAAGAGATGTTGCTACCGACAGACTTATTTAGGACAGTATTTTCTTTAGATTCTCCCCAAGGTTTTAGTCGTCCTAAAATTTAGGGGCAAAAAGAGAGACTACTGAATTATTAGTTCAGCAATTGTATTAATATCTTATTGTGAATTTTATACTAGCTAGCCTGTTTTTTTGCTGGTTGACTTTAAGATTAAATGCCTCTTCAGCTGTATTATCAATTTCACCAGCCCATTCCCTACAAGTAGTTTTTCTAAGTAGTAGCAAGTGACTGTACTTATAAGTAACACTCACCACACAAAGTTCAGCATCTCACACAATAGTGCACTTTTTTAAAAAAATAAAATTAAAATAAGCCTAATTTTGTAAAGGAATATCTCATATTTCCTGTGCATACATCTACTCAGTAGAATACAAGGATATTCTTAAATTAATGGGCTTTTGATCATAAAGACTTATTCTTCAGTAGGGAGGCTCTTAAAGAATATATTATGTAGAAATTTAACACCAGTCCACAGACTGTGTGGGAATGCAGAGAGGAAGGGAAAGGGACAGGAAAAGAGACTGAAAACTTTGCTGTATCATGGTTGGTATCAATGCCTTTCTTTATGAGCAGCTGAGTATAAGGGGTATGACCAACACAAACTGCACAGGATCGCAGTACCTTTATGTGGCTGATAGCGAAGCGGCCGTGAGAGACTTGCTTTGAGATCAAATGTCTTCTTTGCGCTTGTGGGTTCTGCAGAGTGAGCTGCAAACTTGAAGGGAGTGATAACTACAAAAGGCATCAAGATACTGTACTTAATTACAGTAGCAAGAACATCACTGTACATAGCAAGTTGGAAAGTGCATGTGAAGACCCCCTGGCAACTACCAAGACCAAAGAGCCATTAAGTGCTATCGTCTGCTACCTCTAAAGACAGAATTGCACAAATACAGCTCACTTGAAATAGGGAGCTTTCAGGTCAGGACAGAGCAAGGGTTGGAGAGTATTAGCCCTTTTGCTCCAATTATGCTATGCAACAGCATCTACAGCTCCACGTATTTTTCTAGTTCTTCAGAGCAAATTGTGTTTCCTAGTCTCTGTGCTTATTTGGAACCAAGTGGATTTTCACATTAAAAAAAGAAGCAAACTTCCAGAACACACCAGCTTCTGATCAGCAGTGGAAATTTTCCCCTAAAAAAAATTCAGTATTGTCATACAGCAAGACAGGCAACTCTGGGTTCTCGACCTGTGCTAATGTACCTGTGATGCTAGGGTATCAACTGTTAGACAGCAGAGCTGTGCTGGTGCAGAGATCATTAGTAATCAGAAGACTTCTGCTTTTTCTTACAGAGCTTTAGTTCCCGAGTTAAGCAGGGTTGCTGAGGCTGATAACAACAGATTGTCCTAAACACAGCTAGAAACCTGGCGCATGCCAATCCCACAAGGAGAATGAGACGTCTGAGAAGGCATCAGACACTCCTGTCACCGCAGACAGGATCTCCCTGTACCAGTTATATGAATCTTTTGCTACATAGTCTCTAAAGGTCTAGAACGATTTCTATCCCCTGCATCCTATATTAGGCTTTTCTGTAGGTAGCTAGGTACCATATGTTTGAGTCTTAGCACCTCACCATTTTAATCAAAACAGTGGAAACCAAAGGAAACAAAGAAACTACTGCAGTTTCTAAAGAATCAGTCATAAAACAGAGAATGAAATTAAAACCTGGGTCTACATGACATTAGGTTATAAAAAAATTACATAATAATTCAGTAAGGTCATGATCTAGAAAAGCCAAATCTTCACCATCCGCTTTACCCTTTGATGCAGTCAGATCGTTATTTCTTGCATTCCTCTTGCTGTTTTTCCGACTTAGTAGTTTGCAGCTCTTTTGGCTATCAGGTGTGCAGATCTCCTCCAAGTATGGAGACATTCTAGATGGAGTCTTGGTAAGAGAGCGTTTATGCTCATTATCTTTTGTGGCTTCCGAGAACCTGAAAATTATTAGAAGTATGAAGATGAAATTAGTCATCTACAAGGAATGTAAGCAACGTGACAGAATACAGAAGGTTCTGCATTCCACCTTTCTTACAGATACAAAGCTTTACTGTGTATAAGATGTTCACACCTTATGCATCAATTGCACTAAAAATACCTTTGCTGGCAGTTTT